CTGTTTCACCTTAGTATTAACCTGACCATTGAGTACTATTTAAGCAAGAGTGCATGTTTTTCCAAATTTAAAAATCTTTAGCCAATCCTCTCCAGCATTGTCCAGTATAGCATGAAAAATACAGTCATAGAGATACACAGCATGGAAACAGACCCTTCAGTCCAACTCGTCCATACCGAGCAGATATCCTACATAAATCTCATCCCATTTGCCAGCATTTGGCTCATATCCATCTAAACACTTCCTGTTCATATACCCATTTAGATGCTGTATAAATTTGTAATCATACCCGCATCCACCACTTCCTCTGGCAGCTCATACCATACACCATCCCACTGCGTGAAAAAGATGCCTCTTTATTCCCTTATATATCTTTCCATTCTCACCCTAAACCTATGTCCTCTAGTTTTGAACTCACCCATCCCATGGAAAAAAACAGGTCTATTTATTCTATTCATGCCCCGCGTGACTTGTAAACCTCTATGGGTCATCCCTCAGCCTCCAATACTCCAAGGAAAATAGTCCCAGCCTCTGCAGCATCTCGCTGGCAACTTCCTCATAAACCTTTCTCAACCCTTTCTAGTTTCACAACATCCTTCTTATAGGAGGGAGACCAGAATTGAACACAATACTCCAAAATCAATGCCATACAAAGCTGCACATGACTTCCCAGCTACTATACTCAATGCACTGACCAATAAAGGCAAGTATGCCAAACACCTTCTTGGCTAACCTATCCACATGCGACTCCACATTCAAATAACCATGAACCTGCACTTCAAGGTCTCTTTGTTCACCAACACCCATCAGGATCTTACCATTAAGTGTTTCAGCCCTGCCCTGATTTGCCTTTACAAAATGCAGGACCTCACATTTGTCTAAATTGAATTTCAACTGCTATTGGACCATCTGATCACAATCATGTTGTACTTTGAGTTAACCTTCTTTACTGTCCACTACACCTCCAAATTTAGTGTCATCTGCAAACTAAGGGAATAGGGATAATCCTGGGCATTGCAGACCGGTCAGTCTTACTTCTGTGGTGGGCAAATTATTGGAGGGAATTCTGATAGATAGTATTTATGATTATTTGGAAAAGCACAGTTTGATTAGAAATAGTCAGCATGGCTTTGTGAGGTGCAGGTGATTCCTCACAAGCCTTATTGAATTCTTTGAGGATGTGACAAAACACATCGATCAAGGTAGAGCAGTGGATGTGTGTATATGGATTTTAGCAAGGCATTTGATAAGATTCCACATGGTAGGCTCATTCAGAAAGTAAGGAGGCATGGGATTCAGGGAAATTTGGCTGTCTGGATACAAAACTGGCTGTCCAATAGAAAACTAGAGGGTGGTAGTAGATGGATAGTATCCAGTCTGGAGCTCGGTGACCAGTGGTGTTCCGCAGGGATCTGTTCTGGGACCTCTGCTGTTTGTGATCTTTATAAATGACTTGGATTAAAAAGTGGAAGGTTGGGTTAGTAAGTTTGCCGATGACACGAAGGTTGGTGGAGTTGTGGACAGTGTGGAGGGCTGTTGTAGGTTGCGACGGGACATTGACAGGATGCAGAGCTGGGCAAAGAAGTGACAGATGGAATTCAACCATACCCTACATTTTAGTCTGAAGTGAAAAGTGTGAAGTGATTCATTCTGGAAGGTCAAATTTGAATGCAGAATACAGGGTTAATGGCAAGATTCTTGGCAGTGTGGAAGAACAGAGGGATCTTGGGGTCCACATCCATTGATCCCTCAAAGTTGCTACCCAAGTTGATAGGATTGTAAAGAAGGCGTATAGTGTGTTGGCTTTCATTGACAGGGCGATTGAGTTTAAGAGCCACAAGGTGATACTGCAGCTCTATAAAACTCTGGTTCGACCACACTTGGAATATTGTGTTCAGTTGCGGTCACCTCATTATCGGAAAGATGTAGAAGCTTTAGAGAGAGTGCAGAGGAGATTTACCAGGATGCCCCTGGACTGGAGGCAGCTCTCATGAGGAAAGGTTGAGGGGGCTAGGGCTTTTTTCATTGGAGCGAAGAAGGATGAGGTGACTTGATAGAGGTGTACAAGATGATGAGAGGCATAGATAGAATGGGTAGTCAGAGACTTTTTCCCAGGCATAAGTTTAAGGTGTTTGGAGGAAGGTATAGGGGAGATATCAGAGGTAGGTTCTTCACACAGAGAGTGGTGGCCATGTGGAATGCACTGCCGGCAGTGGTAGTGGAGTCAGATACATTAGAGACTTTTAAGCGACTCTTGGAAAGGCACATGGAGGAAAGTAAAATGTAGGGTATGCAGAGTGGTTTGATCTTAGTAGGATAATAGGTCAGCACAACATCGTGGGCTGAAGGCCCTGTACTGTGCTGTTCTATGTTCTACATCTCCTATGTTCACGTCCAAATTGTCTAAATAACTGATAAAAAGCAATGGACCAGCACCGTTCCTTGTGGTACACCGCTGGTCACAGGCCTCCAGCCTTAAAAGCAACCCTCCACCACCACCCTTCAGTGATATGAGATCCAGTGTATGGCTCGGAACACATATCCGATCAATTGCTAATGCAAATAGTGAGGAATTGCTATCCCTTATAAATGAGATTTAAATGAGATTTCACGATCCACAGGGTCACTAATGTCTGGGAGTGCTGCTGAGACATCTTTGGATTCTATCTTTACCTCATTTAGTATTTGATGAGTTCTGTCAGGGTAAACGATCACAGTCATGCTTTTAATTTTGAAAAAGTAATAGAAGTTGTGTATCTGCTGCCAATTGTATCACTGTTCTAACTTTTTTCATTTGTTAACACCATGGAATGTTGCGACTTCATTTGCTTTGTAAGTAAGTGACATCTCAAACTTTGTCTCGTTTGAAGAAAACCTCATCGTTCCTCACCAGATGGGAACTTGGTGATCTGGTCTGCAATGTTCCTCAATATTCCATTTCTCAATTCCAATTCTTTGCTGCCAAGGTTTTAGGAATATTGTGAGGATGTGAGAGACATTTTCTTCTGTTCAGAATGGACAACACCCTCATTGGTGGGAAGATTGTTCGTTTACATAGGAAGTGTCCATCAGAAATATAGTACAGCAACTTTCACTCAGACGATTACGGGAGATCCACATATCAGAGTCACAGATATGGTTATGGAGTCTTGCTGTGCACTGTGTTTGCTCACAATATTCTCCTCCTTTGTCTCTAGATTCACCACGGAATCTCTTAATTTCTTCTCTTGCTGTGATTAAAGATTCATTGATCAATATATTTGAGGGGGATTCTGCAGAGATAATCTGCACTGTCGAGAGCTTCCCAGCTTCTGACCTGACATGGAAACATCTTAATGCCACAATGAACAGAACAAGTTCCAACAATGAGCTGTGGTTGGAGATTCCTCATGTCACATTCAGGGAGACTGGAGAGTATCAGTGTGTGGCAGTGAATGAATATGGAGCTTTGGAGAGCTCCATAACCATCACTGTGGAATGTGAGTGTACACAGACTTCAACATCAAGGGGCGGCACAGTCTATCAGTGGTTAGAACTGCTTCCTCACACCACCAGTGACCCTGATTTGGTTCCACCCTTGGGCAACCATTTGTGTCGAGTTTGCACATTCGCCCCGTGTCTGCACAGGTTCCCTCCTGGTGTTGCAGTTTCCTCCCACTTGCCAAGATGTTCAAGTTAGGTGGATTGGCTTTGGCAGGTTTTCCTGTAGTGTCCAGGAATGAGTCTGCATGTGTGATGCCCTTCACAGGACTGTTATGGACTTGAAGAACCAAATGGCATGTTTCCACACTGTAGGGATTCTTTATTGAAAAATCTCTCCCATATGCACACACAAACACATGAGTACAGCCCTGCAGAAATGTGTGTGACATGCCCCTGCTCTCAGCTGTTGCACTGCAGCATCAGTATGAGCTTCAGTTCTCTGTTGACTGACAAGATGCTGCCTTGAAACAGCAATTCCCTGCACGGAAAATTGTAGATTTCTTCGTGGTTAAATTATTTTTATTGTTGTATCCATACTTATTGTGTAATTCAGGAATCGATGAATATTGCAATATTCAGGGAACATGAATTCCAGGGCTTGCAACATTCAGTCCTGCCTAGAGGTAAAGGTATGGATTGCTGCAAGGTTTTAAATATCTCATTCAGATCAGCTCAAGGGTCAGCCACTACTTAAGATTCAACTGGTCAGACACTTAGTTTGGCATGGGAGGAGGGAGCGAGAGAACCAGGAGCTAGCTCCGTGCAGGATCATTGTTCTGAGCTGTACCGCTTTGAGAAAGTAACAAGGCCTTAGTGAAGGCCACTTAATGGGCTGCTGACAGCAAAATTCTGTCTTTGCAACTTTGTGCACACTGCAGTACTCTATACACCAGTGGAAGGATTTCAAGCTCTCCTTGGACAATGCGGCCAATGAACTCTTTCTTTCTCCACAAATGCTGCTTGATCTGTCGAGAATTTCAAGGTTTTTCAGTTTTCATTTTAGATTTTGAACGTTTTTCCCAACACTGGGGAGTGAATATCTGGATAGCTTTTTGTTAGATTGAAAATGGTATCAAAAGACATGGATCCCATGTAGAAAAATTGAGACAAGATAGAGATTGCAGTGATCTGACTAAGTGGTGAAATAGGCTCCAGGGCTTACATGGCCTACGCTTGTTCCTCAAATTTCTCCTAATTTATTCAATCTTCAGTCTATGTATGTTGTCTTGCATTCTTCTCAAATTTGTTGGCTGTGACATATATCTCTTCACTAAGCTTTTCTACTTAAGATAGCTAAGTGTATGTCTTCATGCAAATATTATCAAAAATACATTACTGTACACAGTGTTTCCATCAATAACTAGGTCAGATCACTGTAATCTCTATCTTGTCTCCATTTATCTAAATGTGATCCATGTCTTTTGATAACATTTGCTTTGCAAATATGTTCTGCTATGCTGGGCTTTAAAGACCTCAGAATGCAAAAATTAACATGAGTTCAGTATTTGATCAAAAACTTTGATACCACTGAATGTTTCCTGACATCCTGTGAGTTTCTTTTTAATTATATGGGATTGGATACTGTACTGCTCTCCTCAGATCATATATAAGGGTTAAAGTTTAGTGAGCTACTGGGAGCTTAAAAATTGAATTCCATTTTCACAATTGCTGTCTTTGCAAAACAACATCTCAGGTTGTGGGCGTAACCGGCAGATTTATGGTCAGTCCACAAGGTGACTTTTCTCAATAGGTTACTGCCTTCTCCATTGTAGTCTGCGTGGTGAAAGTGCCAAACTGTTTCATGCTTCTTTTTAAATATAACTGAATGGCCTACAGGACCTCTGCAGAGTGCAGTTAAGTGGACTAGAGACCTACATATTGGCCAGAATGGACAAGTTTTGCATGCTCTGTTTGTTAATAGAAATTAGTGACTAGTTGGGTTTTTAAACCAACAGAAATTGCACAGCACTTTTTTGAAAACATTTACTTGTTTTTTTTTTATTTCCAGTTTCATTCACTGAATTCAAACTTTAAAAATTGTCATGGGAGGTTTGAATGCAAATTCTATGGATCGTTACAAAAACAAAATTTGCTGGAAAGACTCAGCAGGTCTGGCAACATCTGGAGGGAGAAATCAGACTTAACAGTTCGGGTTCAGTGAGCCTTCATCAGAACTGATGGTAGCCAGGAAAATGTTGTTTCTTTTGCATTCAATAGGGTGGCGGGAGGGTGGTATGGTGTAACCGATAGATAGAGACAGAGACCAAAGACAGAGGCAACATTTGGACAAAGAAAGGATGGAAAACAATCAGACTAGTAGAATGGATAGGTACAGATGGTGACAATTAGTGGCTAACAGTGGGCTGTGTTAACACAGCATGTTATAACAAGGGATAGTGTGTGGGCGTTGAGGTCAGAGCATGGGAAAAGGTGCCTCAAACCCTAAAATTGTTGAACTCAATATTGAGTCCAGAAGGCTGTACAATTCACAAGTGGTAAATGAGGTGCTGTTCTTCCAGCCTGCATAGAGCTTCGCTGGAGTACTACAGCAAGTCCAAGACAGAGATGTTGACCAGGCAACAAGATGGTGTGTTGAAATGAAAGACAACCAGAAGCTCAGGGTTTCTTTCTGCAAAAAAGACCCTGTGTTTCCATCCGAATGCAGTTATAAGCATGCAGAGAGATGACAATAGCAGTGGTGGAGTTACAGCAGTGAATTTGCCTATTTACCCTATCCATGTCGCTCATGATTAAATAAACTTCAATAAAGGTCACGCCTCAGCCTCCGACGCTCCAGGGAAAATAGTCCCAACCTATTCAGCCTCTCCCTGTAGCTTAAACCCTCCAACCCTGGTAACATAATCTTTTCTGAATCCTTTCTAGTTTTTCACATCCTTCCTACAGCAGGGAGACCAGAATTACACGCATTACTCAAAGGAGGCCAAACCATTATCATGTACAGCCGTATCATGGCCTCCCAACTCCTATATGCAATGAACTGACCAATAAAGGCAAGCATATCAAACGACTTCTTCACTATCCTATCCCCCTGCACCTCCATTTTCAAGGAACTATGAACATGCCCTCCAAGGTCTCTTTGTTCAGCAACACTACCCAGGACCTTACCACTAAGTGTATAAGTCCTACCCTGATTTGCCTTTCCAAAATGCAGCACCTCACATTTATCTAAATTAAACTCTATCTGCCAGTCCTCGGCCCATTAGCCCATCTGATCAAGATCCCGTTGTAGTCTGAGGTAACCTTCTTCGCTGTCCGCTTCACCTCAAATTTTAGTTCTATCTGCAAACTTACTAACTATATTCACATCCAAATCATTTATATAAATGACAAAAAGCAGTGGACGTAGCACTGATTCTTGTGGCATACCACTGGTCACAGGCCTCCAGTCTGAAAAGCAACCCTCCACCACCACCTGATCCACCCTGTCTTCTACCTTTGAGCCAGTTCTGTACCCAAATAGCTAGTTTTCCCTATACTCCAAGCAATCTAACCTTGCTAATCAATCTACCATGAGGAACCTTGTCGAACACCTTGCTGAAATCCATACAGATCACGTCTACCACTCTGCCCTCATCAATCCTCTTCATTACTTCTTCAAAAAAACTCAATCAATCAAGTTACTGAGACATGATTTCTCACACACAAAGCCATGTTCACTATCCCTAATCAGTCTTTGCCTTTCCAAACACACGTAAGTCCTGTCCCTCAGGATCCCCTCCAATAATTTGCCCACCACCAATGTCAGGCTCACTGGTCTATAGTTCCCTCGCTTTTCCTTACTAGCTTTCTGAAATGTTTGTAATTTTTAGCATAGCCTCATTTTAAAACTGGCTGCAAAGATCAGCAGGTGTGTAAGCAGTGGAGGCATGAGCAGGATTGAAAAGGGTGTGTCTATGGATATTATTTAGGTCAACTTCCAGAAGGTGGTTGATAAGGTTTTCCACAAAAGCAAAGATGAAGGCACATAGAATTCAGGTCTAACACAGAGGTCTTACAGTTAATGAAAGGGCACTGGTTACTGTTGTCAAACAGAAAGACCTTGGGGTTCAGGTACGTAGTTATTTGAAAGTGGCATCACAGGTAGGCAGGGTGGTTAAGGAGGCATTTATGGTGCTGGCCTTCCTTGCTCGACCTTTGAGCATAGGAGTTGGGACATCATGTTCAGGTTGTACAGGACATTGTTGAGATCACTTTTGGAGTACTTTGTTCAGTTCTGGTCACCCTGCTATCGGAAGGATATTATTAAATTGGAAACAGTGAAGTAAAGATTTATCAGGACTGAGACTAGAGGGCTTGAGTTATAAGAGGAAGCTGGACAGGCTGGGACTTTTCTCACTGGAGCTTAGGAGGTTGAGGGGTGGTGCGTACGTGGAATGTCATGTCAAAAGAAGGGTTGAGTGCAGGTACAGTTACAACATTTAAAAGACATTTGGATATGTACATGAATAGGAAAGTTTAGAGGGATATGGGCCAAATGCAGGCAAATGAAACTAGTTTAGGACACGTAGTTGGCGTGGTGTGTTAGACCAACAAGTCTGTTTCCGTGCTGTATGACTATGATTCTCTATAACTGAAGGGCACTGACGTCGTCTGGTTGGAAATTGGGATGAAGTCCCAGGAACTATTTTATAGCTCAGTGCAATTAGGAATCAGGTGATGTTCCTGTTTGTCCAATTTTTACGATTTGTACTCAGGGGAAAAGGTTTTTACTCTGTGTGAGATCAGGGGCTGTGAAGAGGGCTGTGCTTCATCAATAATGCAGTAAGTGAGGAACTGGAAGCCCCAATTAATTTTTACAAAAGTAATGATGAAGGGATAATAAATTTTTACAAGGTGTAAGGGCTAGCATGTGGGAACCCCTCGTAAAGGTGATCCGTAGGGTCACTAATGTCTGGCAGTATTGCTGAGAAATCTGTGGGATCTATCTTCACCTCATCTGGTATTTGCTGAGCTCTGTGACATGATGGATCACAGTCTGTATTCTACACATTTACCTCATGTTCATTTTTAAAAATTCATTTGTAGGAAGTGGGCATCGCTGGCTGTGCCAGCATTTATTGCCCGTCCCTAGTTGACCTTCAGAAGGTGGGGGTGAGCTGCCTTCTTGAACTGCTATAGTCCAGCTGCTGTGAGTTGACCCACAATGCCCTCAGGGAAAGAATTCCAAGCTTTTAACCCAGCAGTAGTGAAGGAATGGTGACATATTTCCAAGTCAGAATGATGAGTGTCTTGGTGGGGAATTTGAAGATGGTGGTGTTTCCCATGTATCTGCTGCCCGTGTCCTTCTCGAGGGAATGGTTGTGGGTTTGGAAGATGTTGTCTGAGGATCTTTAGTGAATTTCTACAGTACATCTGGTAGAATGTACTGCCACTGAAGTTGGTGGCAGCGAGAGCTGGAGCTCATGGATACAGTGCCAATCAAATGGAATGGTTTGTCCTGGAAGGAATTAAGTTTCTTGAGAGTGTTGTTGGCGTTGCACCTATCTAGGCAAATGGGGAGTATTCCATCACACTCCTAACTTGTGTCTTATAGAATTTTGGAAATTAGATTATAGTCCATTGTGTTACTGTTCTAAACTTGGATTGTAACACTTCATTTGCAAAAATCCAAAGTATTTTGTGTGTATCTCTTCAAAGATACCTGGGATCTCAAACTTTGACTCCTATAGAGAAAACATTCTGGCTCCTCACCAGATAGTAACCTGGTGATCTGGTGTGGGATCATATTGTATCCCTCAATATTCCATTGCGCAAATTCAATTCACTGCTACCAAGGTTTTGGGAATATTGTGAGGATATGGCAGGCACTTTTTCTTTGAGGATGGAGAGGGCCCTCATTGGTGGGAGGAGGAACCTACACTGTGAAAGTTTACATCGGCAGTGTCCATCAGAACTGTAATGCAGCAACTTCCACTCAGAAGGTTATGAGGATCCAAACAGAGATATGGAGTTATGCTGTGCACTGTTTTCTTATAATATTCTCTTCCTTTGCATCTAGATGCCCCACGGAATCTCTCAATTACATCCCTTGCTGTAATTCAAGATTCATCAATCAATATAATTGAGGGGAATTCTGCAGTGATAACCTGTTCTGTCGCAAGCTTCCCAGCTTCTAACCTGATGTGGAGATATCTTAATGCCACAATGAACAGAACAAGTTCCAACAACGAGCTGTGGTTGGAGATTCCTCACATTACATCTGGAGAGACCGGAGAGTATCAGTGTGTAGCAGAGAATGAACATGGAGCCGTGGAGGGCTCTATAACCATCACTGTGGAATGTGAGTGTATATACACACACACACACACACACACAGGCACCTCCATATTGTGTGTGTGAATGGGGTGGGCAAAGTCAGAAATTATACCAGGTTATAGTCCAACACCTTTGTGAAATCACAAGCTTTCGGAACGTTGTTCCTTTGTCAGGTGAACAAACCAGACTTAACCTGATGAAGCAGCAGTGCTCTGAAAGCTTGTGACTTCAAATAAACCTGTTGGATTATAAACTGGTGATGTGTGACTTTTGACTTTAACCCTGCAGAAACACACAACTGGGACATGTGTTGCACTGGAACATCAGTATGGGCTTAAATTCTCTGCAGAAGGAATGGAAATTCTATATTAACAAGACGCTGCCTTGAACCAGCAATGCCCTGTGTAGATAACTGTAGATTTATTTGTGGTGAAATTATTTTTGCTGATAGATCCATTTGTATTGTGTAAGCGAGCAACTGGTGAACATTGCAACATTCAAAGAATAAGCATTCCAATGGTTGCACATTCAGTCCTGCATAAACAAAAGGGTTCAGGTTGTTGCAATAATTTCAGTAAAGTCTCTCAGATGAGTTCAAGAGGCAGAAGCTGTTTAAGTTTGTGTCAATTAAACAATGATTGGGGGTGGGGGGGTTGCTGTTAGCTGTACTGCTCTGATAAAGTTACCGAAAGGGCCTGATTTTGTCTGATTGGAGATTGGGGTGAAATCCCAGGAGCTGTTTTATATCTCACAGCGGTTATGAATCAGGAAATGACCTGGGAAGCCAATAGTTAATGCTAAGTATCACAGCTTGAACTCACAGGAATATATCTTGAAGTTGTGTGAGATCAGAGGCTCAGAAGATGCTCGTTAAATATTCAGAAAGTGAGGAATTGCTATCCCTTTTAAAGCTTTAAAGAGCTGATGATCTACAGGGTAACTGATGTCTGGATATGTTACTGAGAAATCTGTGGAATTAACCTTTATTTAGTTTTGGAAGATCTCTATGGTGTGATTGATTACACTTTCTGTTATCCATATTTACCGCACGTTAATTTTGGACATTAGCACAGGAGCAAGTGTAGGCAAATCAAGGTCTTTTAGTGAAAATTTGTAGCTTGGGTTGTGGATGCAGTTGTTTGCTAGCTCACCGAACCAGCTGTTTTGTGTACAGACGTTTTGTTACCTTTCTAGGCAATATCATCAGTGTGAGGCCTAATTGAAGCGTTAATGCTCGGTTTCCTTCCGGATTTATATGATCCTCTCGTGTGATGGTCTTGTGGCTGCCGGGACTGTTGTTTTAGCAGCGGTCTGTATATGGGGTCTATTTCTACGTGTTTGTTTATGGACTCCCGTGTTGAGAAGCAGGCTTCCAGAAATTCCCTCACATGTCCCGTGTTCGCTTGCCCTAGTCGAACTGATGACTCTCATTGTCTGTGTGAATTGAGACAAGTGAATATTCGTCGTGTCTTTTTATTGTCAACTGGTGTTCATGTATCCTGGTCATCAGTTTCCTTCCTGTTTGTCCAATATAATGTTTGTTGCACTCACTGCATGGTACTCTGTATAGCACATTGGTCTTGTTTACTGTCAGTATGGGATCTTGTCTTTGATAACATTTGGCGCAGCATTGCTCTAGGTTTGTGTGCAATCATGATCTTATGCAGTTTTAGGAGTCTGGTAGTCATTTCTGATACATTTTTGGTGTAGGGTAGCATTGCTAGTGTCTTCTGTTGTTCCGTGTCCTCTGACTCATTTGTTTTGTAGGCATCTGCGGTCAAAACTTCTTGGGTATCCCTTGTCACTGAAAACTTTGTGTAAGCGTTTCTCTTCCATTCCGTTCTGGTGTGTTGCAGTGTGATGCAGTTCGTTTAAATAGTGTCTGATGCAGCTCTGTTTGTGTATGGGGGGGTGGTTGCTATTGAAGTTAAGAATTTGGTCCATGTGTGTGTGGCCTTCCTGGGTACTCGGGTCCGGAATTCACCATTAGTCAGTCTCTCTACCATTACATTTAAGAACAGGAGCTGTTTGTTGTTCTCTTCCTCTCTAGTGAAATTTATGTTTGTGAAGATGTTGTTGACAAGTTGGTGGTTTACTTCTACTTTTGTGCGTTTGATTATTACAAATGTGTCGTCCACATATCTTACCCACATTTTCAGACTATAGGAATTCATTAGTATTCATCTCGTATTCCATTCTCTGCATCATTGCTTCTGTGACGAGACCTGAGATGGGTGATCCCATCAGGGTGCCACTGATCTGTTTGTATAACTGCCCATTGAACGTGAAGTGCATTGAGAGGCATAAATCTAGCAGTTTCAGTAAGCTGTCCTTGCTGATGCTATTGCCGGTGTTCAGGGTCGGTGCTCCTGGTCTGTCTAGTAGTGTGGCTAGTGTGTCTCTGGCTAACAGTACGTCAATGGACGTAAATAGTGCTGTAACATCAAAGGAGATCGTGATTTCATCCTTGTCGATTTTTGTGCCCTTGAGTTGAGAGAGAACTTCCTGGGCGAATGGATAGAGTGTGGGGATCCGCTAAACAGATCAACGGCACACCGATGGAATCACCAATCTCTGGTCTCATCACGGAAGCAGTGACGCAGGGACTGGAATACACAGTCCTTCCTATAATCCAACCGAAAGTGTGGGTAAGATACATGGATGACACTTTTGTAATAAACAAACGCACAAATGTAGAAGAAACCCACGAACTTGTCAACAACATCTTCGCAAACATAAATGTCACTAGGGAGGAAGAAAACAACAAACTGCTCCCATTCTTAGACATAATGGTAGAGAGACTGACTCACGGTGAATATAGGACCTGAGTATATAGGAAGGCCACACACACGGACCAAATCCTTAACTTCAGTAGCAACCACCCCATCATACACAAACAGAGCTGCATCAAGACACTACTTAAATGAACTGCATCACACTGCAACACCCCAGAGGTCCAGAGAATGGAACAGGAACTACACAAAGTTTTCACTGTCAACAGATACCCAAGGAGATTTGTCTGCAGATGCCTACAAAACAAACGACAGTCAGAGGACACAGTACAACAGAAGACACTAGCAATGCTACCCTACATCAAAAATGTATCAGAAATGACTACCAGACTCTTAAGAGCGCATAAGATCATGAGTGCACACAGACTACAGCAATATTGCACCAAATGTTATCAAAAACTAGAGACCCCATACCAACAGTAAACAAGACCAATATGATATACAGAATACCATGCACTGAGTGCACTAAACATTACATTGGATAAATAGGGAGGAAACTACACAAACACCAGCTGGCAGTAAAAAGACACGACCAATATTCACTTGTGTCAATACCCACAGACAAGGGCCATCAGTTAAACTGGGTCAAAGTGACCATACTGGGACAAGCGAACACCTGACAAGAAATTTGATAGGCTGGTTCTCAACACAGGACTCCATTAACAAACAGAAATAGACTCCATATGTAGACCACTGCTAAAACAATAGAACCGGAAGCGACAAGATCATTACACTAGAGGATCATATAAATCTGGAAGGAAGCAGCACACCAACGCTTTGGCTAGAGGTTGCACTGATGATGTTGCCTAGAAGGGTAACAAAACATCTGCACAGCATAGAACAACCAGCACGGCGAGCTAACAAACAACTGCAATAGGCCATTCAGCCCCTCAAGCCTGTTATGCCATTCAATGAGATCATGGCTGATCAATGACCCATATCCCTTAATACCTTTGCTGAACAAAAGTTTCTGTGTCAGATTTAAAAGTAATAACTGATCAAGTATCCACTGCCATTTACAGAACAGAGCTTCAAACCTAGAATCTAAGTTGGATATATGTTATAGATTCTATCATTATTCCAATTTTGGATAAGTTTCGTTTGTTGAAACTTTGGAATTCTGTGACTTTATTTTCTTTGTAAGTCGATGGCATCTCAAACGTTGTCTCCTTTAAAAGAAAATTTCCTGATCCCTCACCAGATGCTAACCTGGTGATCTGCTCTGGGATCATAACATATCCCCCAATATTTCATTGATCAAATCCAATTCATTGCCGCTAAGGCTTTGAGAATATTGAGGATGTGAAAGGAACTTTCTTTCAGAATGGACAGCTCCCTCATTGGTGGGAAGAAAAACCTACAGTGTGACAGTTTACATAGGCAATATCTGTCAGAAGCGTAATACAGCAACTACCATGGAGAGATAATTACGAGGAATCCACATATCGCATTCAGAGAGATGGATATGGAGTCTTGCTATGAACTGTGTTTGCTCACAATATTCTCTTCCTCCATTTGCAGACCCACCGCGGAATCTCACAATTACTTCTTTCGCTGTGATTGAAGATTCATCGATCAATATAATTGAGGGGAATTCTCCTGTGATAATGTGCTCTGTCGAGAGTTTCCCAGCTTCTAAACTGACATGGAGACATCTTAATGTCACAATGAACAGAACAAGTTCCAACAATGAGGTGTGGTTGGAGATTCCTCACATTACATCCAAAGAGACTGGAGACTATCGGTGTGTGGCAGAGAATGAACACGGATCAATGGAGAGTTCCATAATCATCACTGTGCAATGTGAGACTACCATTACATTTGTTCATTGTTACATCTTCAGAGAAGCCATTGGCATTGTTTTGTTTCTTCTCTGGATTTCTTCAAGCCTCCCTCATTCCACTGCTCCGATGTTATCTATGATCTGATTTTTCTTTATCCTTTTCTGTTTACTGCATATTTCTCCTACAATTGTTGCTGAGACAAAGATAGTTCTTCACTAAGTCCTTACTTGTCTATCTCAATCTAACACACTCTTGACTCCTATACTTCCATTCTCTTTATCTAAGCCCTTGCCTTGTCTTGCTCTGCATCCAGCTGAATCCGAGCACCCTTGGGCACACCCACATTTCAAAACCTGTTACCTTCCTCTCATCCACTTTCTTCAGGGTCTGACCCTCACATTCATCGAGTATGACCCTCCACATTACCCTGCACCCAACGTTTTCTCAGTTTCAGGCTGTTTTCAGATATTTAGACTGAAGTCACTGGTCTCAGTGCTTCCTGTTGTTTTTCTAAGCTAAATTACAGTTCTGGATGTAATTTTAATATTTATTCTTGAGCCATTGGAATTTGTCCACTCTCCCCATCTCAGTACACCCAATCTTGATATCCTCATTGCCATTTAGAGTCATTAGGTTGGCCATTGCTGCATACATGTCGGCCATTGCTGCATTCACATCCAGTTCGAATGTCTCCCTGTGTCTTTGTCTGAGTCTATCATACTCTCCAGCTCTTGCTTTGTTCTGTTTGTGTGTGTAGTGCCATCTGCACACCAGTGATTCCACAGCCATATCTTTACAAACAAATTTATATCCCGAGAGACTCTGAGATTTACATTGTCTATGACAGGCATTTGGATGCGTGTAAACACAGACAAACATTTCACAAACACTTTCCGCTTTTAAGACATTTTTAAGTTAAACCTTCTGTATGGTGCTTTTGGTCAGTGACCAAAGATCTCCTTATGTAGCTCAGGATAATGTTTTGCCAGAAGGAGGTGAAAAATGGGGGAGGTAATTCCAGAGATTCAGACTTCAGGCAATTGACTCAGGAAATACACAAGAGGCCGGAACTGGAAAAGTAGAGATCTCGGAGGGTTGTGGGGCACAGGGATTACCTGCTGATTCTCCTCTGCTCTTGTTCCAGATCCCCCACGGGAGACCAAAGCGTCCATCAGTGGAGCCTCAGGTGGGATCAGAGAGGGACACAACGTCACATTAACCTGCTCCAGTGAAAGTGTCCCACCGATATCTCATTACACCTGGTTCAGGATCGAGGGAAACACCAGCACCCGTTTAAACACAAGCAGCCGCATTCTCTCCTTCACTCCAGTCACACGGGGGGATGATGCAGGTTTCTACTGCACAGCAACAAACCCATTGGGTAACAGCAGCTCCAACACAACCCACCTGAATGTGGAATGTAAGCAGTTTACTCTGTCTGTCTCTTCTTAAAACTCAGGGGCTGTCTGTCTGGGGGCAGCTTACACACTGTAGTTTTGAATAACGAGCATAACCTCCCCACTGCTGTAATCTGTCTCTCACTGAGATATATAGCGTGATATCAGGATTGTTAACTAATAGCTTGGCTGCTAAGGAGCATCATAAAGGAGAAGTGAGAGGGGCATGGACTATTAGGAGGGGTATATCAGAAATTTGGTTCCTGGGCAGGTCCTGGAAGATACAGTCACAATGGAGGGGCAATTGAAACGCGGCAAGGTTCAAGAGGTCATAATTGGAGGAGGGCAGAGATCTTGGAGGGTTGTAGGGGCCGGCAGAGGTTACAGAGAAAAAAAGTGGGTAGGGAAAGATTTGAAAACAAGGGTGGGAATTATAAACTGGTGTTTCCAGACTGAGCATCAGTGTTGTTCAGCTAATGACAGAGTGCAACTATTAATTCCAGAGCAGTGCAACTTAGGACATAGGCAGTAGAATTTTCGATGAGCTGAAGTTTACAGAGTGTGAGAGATGGAAGAGCGTTTAGAAATGAATTTGGAGTGGAGCAAGACACTGAAGGCGATTTTGGCGTAAATATTATAACTGTATTATTTTTGGCTAATTGCTATCATTCCCTCCTCAGATGGTCCAGAGATTTCCTGGGAGTCGGAATGTACTCGGAGGTCAGAGGGGATCACCTGCATCTGTGTGGCCAACTCCAACCCTCCTGGAGACCTCACCTGGCACCTGCTCCGTGCCAATATCAGCGGTAACCAAACACACGGAGGTTTTGTGTCACAGCAGCTCAGAGCGGGGTATCAGGTGATGGGTTTCCTGATCCTGACGGGACACCAGGATGAAGACGAAGTGATGGGATCATGCTCGGTTCAAAACCCACATGGTGCAGCCACGTTCAAGGTGCATCTTTGGGTCAAAGGTGAGAGGATTGACTCTGGATCGATCTTGGCTTGGCTGGTTATACCCTAAACTCTAGAATCCCCTTCTTCCCCATCTTCACCTCCTTTATGATGCTCTTCCCCACCAGCCTCTGACAAGCACGTCCTCAGAGTTATAGAGTAGAGTTCTCGAGTAATACAACATGGAAACAGGCCCTTTGGCCCAAATAGGTCCATGCTGACTATGGTGCCCACTCAGCTAGTTCCAATGGCCCGCATTTGGTCCATATTCCTCTAAACCTTCCCATCCATGTACCTATCCAAATGTTTGTTAAAATGTTGTTATTGTACTTGCCTCAAACAATTTCTCTGGCATATTTGCACCACTCTGTACATGAAGAAGTTGCCCTTCTTAAATCTTCGGTGATTCTTAAATCTTCGCCCTCTCACCTTAAACCTATGCCCTCTAGTTATCATTTCCCATTGCTGGGAAAAAGGCTATATGCATTCATCCTATTTCTGCCTCTCATGATTTTATTCACCTCAATAAGATCACCCCTCATTCTCCTACGTTCCAAGGAATAAAGTCCTATCCTGGTCAACCTCTCCCTATAACTCAGGCCTACTAGTCCTGGCAACATCCTCGTAAGTCTTCTTTGCACACTTTCCAGTTTAACTACGTCTTTCCTGTACCAGGGTGATAAAAACGTACACATACTTCAAGTGCGGCCTCACCAATGACTCATACAACTGTTACATAATATCCCAATGTTTCAGCCAATGAAGGCCAGCATGTTAAATGCCTTCTTCACCACCCTGTCCACCTGTGAAACCGCTTTCAACGAACTATCTACTTGTACTCCTAGGTGCCTCTCCTCAGAACTTTACCATGATTTGACTTTTCAAAGTGCAACATCTCACACTTATCTGTATTGAATTGCATTTGCTAATCCTCAGCCCACTTCCTCATCTGATCAACATCCCTCTAATTTTTAATAATCTTCTTGCTATCAATGACACCTCCTAATTTTAGATCATCCACAAACTTACTAATCATGCCTTGTACCTTTCATATCCAGACCATTTATGTAAATAACAAAGTTCCCAGCACCGACCCCTGTGGAGCACCACTTGTCACAGGCCTCCAGTCCAAGAAACAACCTTCAACCATCACCCACTGCTTCCAAAAATCAAACTAATTTTGAATCCAATTAGCTAGCCTCCCTGGATCCCACTAGCCTGCCGTGCAGGACCTTGCCAAAGGCCTTACTAAAATCCATATGGTCAACATCCACAGCCCTACCTCATCTATCCTCTTTGAAGAGGTAACAAAAAACTCTTAAAATCTGTCAGACATGACTTCCTGCCCATAAATCCATGGTGACTATCCCTAATCAGACCCTGACTATCCAAATATTGGTTGATCCTGTCCCTCAGTATTGTCTCCAATAACTTGCCTGCCACTGATGTCAGGCCCATTGACCTGTAGTTCCTTGGCTTGTCTTTGTTACCTTTCTTAAACTATCGAACATTAGCTACCCTCCAGTCTTCTGGAACTTTACCCATGGCGAAAGATGAAGCAAAAATCTCTGCAATTTCTTCCCTAGCCTCCCACAATGTCCGAGGACAGACTTGATCAGGCCCAGGGGATTTATCTACCTCAATGTGATCAAAGGCTGCAAACACCTCCTCTCTCATAATACATCCCTATTTGTTTCCCTTATTTCTTTAGCATCCATGATTCTCTCTTCAGTAAACACTGAGGAGAAAACTGAGGAGAAATATTCATTAAAAATCTCCCCCATCTCCTATGGCTCCACACGTAGACGGCCGCGCTGATCTTTAAGGGGTCCTATTCTCTCCCTAACCACTCTTTTACTCTTAATATAGCTATTGAACTTCTTGGGATTATTTTTAATATTTCTGCCAGATCCACCTCATGCCCTCTTTTTGCTCTTCTGATTTTCCACTTAAGTGCAATCCTACACTTTTTATAGTCATCTAGGGATTCACTTGAGCCCGATAGCTCAAACCCAATGTATGCCTTCTTTTTCCTGACCAGAGCCTCAATATCCCTCGTTAGCCAGCTGGATCCCTAAACCTGCCAGCCTTTCCCTTCACCCTAACAGGGACATACTATCCCTGGACTCTTGATATCACACTTTTAAAAGCCTCCCATTTGCCAGTCATTCCTTTTCCTTCAAACATTCACCCAGTCAACCTTTACTAGATCTGCTTAATAGCCCCAAAATCGGCCCTGCTCCAATTCTGCACCTTAACCTGTGGACACGTCCTATTTTTTTCCATAGCTATGTTAAAACTTACAGTGTTATGGTCGCTGGACCAAAAGTGCTCTGACTGACACTTGAGTAACTTTCCCAACCTCGTTTCCTACGAGGTGGTCCAGTGTTGCACCCTCCTGAGTAGGGCCCTCTACATACTGATTTAGGAAACTTTCTTGGACACTTAGACAAATTCCACTCTGGGTGGCCCAGTTAATGCTGGGTAAATTAAAATCTCCAACCAATACTACTGTGTTATCTCTGCAGCTATCCGCAATCTTTCCACATATTTGCTCATCTAGTACCCGCCGGCTGTCTGGGGGTCTCTAATACAATCCCAACAGAGTGACCTTCTTATTTCTAAGTTCTAACCATATGGTTTCATTTGATGATCCCTTAAGAATATCCTCTCTCAGCTCTGTTGTTTTGTCCTCCCTTAAAAGGGCAACTCCTCCTCCTCGCTTACTTGTACTTCTGTCACACCTGTAGCTTCAGTATCCTGGAACACTGAGCTGCCAGTCCTGCCCTTCTCTCAGCCATGTATCCCAGTCCTCAGAGCCAATCCATGCTCTGAGCTCATCTGCCTTGAAATAAATGCACTTTAAACCAGAAGTCTTTTCCCTCCCTTTACTGTGTCCCTGGCTATTCTGAATTGTAAACTCTCAATGGCTAATGTATTTTCCCCTGACTTCTTGATGGCCCCTCTCTTATTCAGAGTCCCACCCAAATACCAAACTAGGTTAAACCCTCTTGGGTAACACTGGTAAATCTTCCCTCAAGGTTATTGTACTCCCTCCAGCTCAAGTACAACCCATCCCTCTTGTACAGGTCACCTCGACCCCAGAAGAGACCCAATGATCCAAGAACTGAAAACCCTGCCCTCTACACCAGCTCCTCAGCCGCGCATTCATCTGACCTATCTTTCTAGATCATAGAATCCCTAGAGTATGGAAACAGGCCTTCAGCCGAACTAGTCCACACTGACTCTCAGAGCGTCCCACCCAGACCCAGATCCATCTCTTGATAACTGACCAAATATACACATTCCTGAACACTATGGGCAATTTAGCATGGTCAATCAACCTAACCTGCGCATCTTTGGACTGTGAGGAAACTGGGGCACCTGAAGGAAACCCACGCAGACACAGGGAGAGTGTACAAACTCCGCACAGTCGCCTGAGGGTGGAATTAAATCAGAGTCCCTGGCGCTGTGAGGCAGCAGTGCTAACCACTCAGTCCCCTTCTATTTCGATCTTCACTGGCATGTGGCACTGGGAAGAATCTGGAGATCACAACCATTGCAGTGCCAATGGCAACACTGGATAAAACTCAGGTCAGGCCATTTGGCAGAGGCCATCAGGAAACACTTTCTTCACAAACTGAGGTGGAAATCTGGAACTCTCACCAACATTCCCCATCCCCCCCACCCCAAAAAAAATCTCTAATTGAAAATAAAGAGAGGCAATGCTGCAGGGGACAGTGGACAGTAAAGTAGTGTTAAGTTAGTGAAGATGTCCAGCTCATTGAGGGACAGGGGTCTCACCATGGAAGCAGGTGGGGTAGCGTGCAGGTGGTTGGGGTTGTTGGTGTGGCAGGACTCCTGAGGCTGGACGCGAGGCCGGCAACAAGGCAGGGCTCGGGGCATCGTCAGGGCTAGGCTGGGGGAATTCAGATTATTGGCAGATTAGGCAGCAGGTCCGATCACAGTGGTTCAGGCCAACAGTGGAGACGAGGCTTTGAGTTGGGAGGTGTGCCTGGATGGGTGGAGTGCGGGCTGTCCTGGGGAGGAGGAGCAGAATAGCACTGGATTGTTAGGGAGTGGGAAGGTGCCTGGTCAGAGGAGGAGTAATTGTCAGATGTCCAGGTTCAGGGTTCAGGTGAGGTGAAATTGGAGGCTGTGTGGTCAGTTGGGGGTTGGGGGATCAGTTTCATAGCTAACTGGATGTTAGTACAAGCTTTTAATTGTCTGAACATAAAGAAAGTGCTCCCCTCTGACTTGAACGGGCTCCCAGACACAGGGAAATTGCCAACTGGAACTTCCAATTTCCTGGACAACTCGCATGGATGCACCTGCTTGTGGGATTCTGCAGGATCCTGTCACACAACTCCAATCTGCGGTGATCCAGCAATCAACTGTCCAATGTAAATTTGAATGATACACAGATTACATCCAGAAGGATTGAATATATTGCTGATATTATCACAGAATCAGAAGTGTGATGATTGTTCTATTGAAGGTAATGTGACTGCCAATTTTTGCACAACAAGATCCCACAAACAGCAATGTGATCATGAACTGATGATCAATTATTTAAGTGAGTTTGTTTGATACAAAGACAGAGATTATAAAGTGGGTCACTAATGCCCCATTAGTGAAGGAAACCCACTGTTTTCTCCCAGTCTGTGCATACATCATTACAGTCTCAAGCTACAACATGGTTACCTCTTAACTGCCCTTCTCTCTCAGTTTGTGGGGGTTAGGAAAAAGACACCTTACAACCTTTCAAGCGACAATGAAGAAGGTGTATCAAATGTCAACATTGCTTGAGAATAAATTCTGAAAAATGGAGTGCGTTGCTTCTCAAGATACATCGGTGTCATTCCAGTGTGGTAATTAATGGCTATGTTTACAGGTAGAGACTCCAATAAATGGACCTTAGGACTGGTCATAACTGGAATTGTGTTCAGCATTTTCCTGGCTGGAATCTTAATCTTACTGAATGTGGACAAGTAAGTATGAATACTTCATTCGATTTTATTCTAAATATTTACTTTCACTTTCATCCCCACAGTTGGTGACTGTTCTCTTCAGGTGAGGTACCGGCCACTTCTTCTGTAAGTGGTTCCCCGTGTCCCCATGATCCAGAGCGGGCCTTTCATTGTGTGTCCAGATTAAAAGTTATAAGTTGTTGTGATATGGAATATGCTGCCTGATGGGGAGGTGGAAGCATGTTCAACAGGAACTTCCAAACTTGTAACTGTATCTATGCTGCACTGATTCTGACTTACAAAACCACACTTTGATATCGTGATATTGCAGGAGAAAGACAGCAATTCAGCAGACAGCTTCGAAGACCAGTGACATTGCGTTGACCTACAGTCAACTCTCTGTGAAACACCAGGTAAACAAGAAGCGGTTTACACTCACTTTGAAGCTTTAAGCTCAGCATTTAAACAATGTAAAATGTTGCAACTGACAAATCCAAGGATTTTCTCTGCACTAACATCACTTTTTCAAAGCTGCCAGCAGTGACAGGATTTTGCACAGGAGAGTCACAGAATCCCTACAGTGTGGAAACAGGCCATTTGGCCCATCAAGTCCACACCACCCCTCCATAGAGCATCCCACCCAGTCGGCATATCCATGGGCAATTTAGCATGGCCAATCCACCTAACCTGCACATCTTTGGAATATGGAAGAAAACCCATGCAGACATAGGGAGAATGTGCAAACTCCATGCACACAGTTGCCTGAGGCTGGAATTGAACCCAGGTCCCAGGAATTGAACCCAGGTCCCAGGCATTGTGAGACACACACACACATGCCACCCTCCCACCAAGATAAACAAAGATCAAATTCCAGCCAAACGGAATGTGGAACAGGGACAGGAGTATGGAAGTTGTGCGCAGCCAAGATGATTAAAAGGCAATGTCTGTCCCAGACACATTACCCATGGATTTCTATCTGTAGAGTAAGCAATGGCTCAGTGGGCAGCACTCTCACCTTCCCTTCCTGAGTCAGAAGGTTTAATAACCAACTCCACAAATTTAAACATAAGCTGACAACACTGTTACTTTGGGGAGTACCACACTGTCGGAGGGTCATACTGAGAGTGCTGCCCTTGTCCTAAAGAAGGGTCATTATACTTCAAACATAAACTGCCTTTTCTTCACAAATGCTGCCAGACACGCTGAGTTTCTCCAGCAGGTTTTGTTGTCATTGTTTCAGATCCCGAGCATCTGCAGTTTTGTTTCATTGTTCAAAAATTGGTTGATGTCAACTGTTTGCTGGACCTTTCTGTGCACAAACAGCTGCTGAATGCCTACACTACAACAATGAATACACTTCCAAAAGGAGCTCGCTCTGAAGGTGTTTTGGAATGTTCCGTATGAGGGAAGAAGAGAGATCAAATCTAAATTTAGAGTCAAACTATGCCATTCCACCTGAGAGGAGAAAGGATCGAGACTAGGAGGGGCAGAGAGACAGACAGAGGCAGAGCGATGGAGCCAGAGAGACAGACAGAGGCAGAGCGAGCGAGAGACAGACAGAGCGAGTGAGTGGGGGGAGAGAGAGCAAGAGAGTGAGTGAGAGAAGGTTAAGTCCACTGAACGGTGAAAAACACTCACGAGGCTGTGCAATAACTGAACTCAAATATGCCAATAAATGTTGAGAATATCACTTGTTTCCATTTCTTGATGGATCTCCGCACTGCTGGAGGTGCCATCTTTAAGATAATAGATTAAACCACTCCTTCTGCCCTGTGGGAGTTGTTAAAGATCCCAAGGGCACAATTTGGAAGAGAAGCTGTGAGCAGTTCTCCTCATTGTCCTGGGTCCTATTTCCACCAAAAACGGAATTAACAAAATGAAATAACGTAAGTTATTCTAATACTGCTGTTGAGAAATTTGTTGTATGCAAATTGAAGCTGTGTTTCCTATATTACATCAATGACTAGAGTTCAATAAATAAAGTCCTTCAGTGGCTGAGGAGCATCTCTGTGAACAACGAATTTTATCCTTCAAGGTAAGCAAGAGATGGAAGTTAAACCCACAGAATCACGATTGACTCTCACGAGGCTGTGCAATAATATAAACCTATCCGTGCCAATAAATGATGAGAACATCTTCTATTTCAATCTCTCTGCAGGGTTCTCAGAACATGGTGGTTACTGACCCTCAGAACACAACCAGGGACATAACTAGAGAGGAGGACACACCAGCTCCCCAGGATGTCTTTGAGGGTCCAGTGGGAAAGGAGATGCTGGACACGGGGACCCCAGAAGAACTAAAGACCTCCTCTACACCAACATTAATTTCTCAAAGCTGCCCAGCAGTGACAGCGCTGAACACAGGGGCAAGGACACAGAATACGCAGAGATCAGATTCCAGCCAAAGTGAGAAACCCGGAGAGGGGTCTGTGTAGCCAATATGGTTGAATAATAACAATGAAGAGAAAATGACATTGCTCAACTTTGTTGTTAGTTCTGAACATGCTTTCCAATTGCTGCAGCTTTTTCATGCCCTCAAAGGTTGCACAAAGCTCATGAATAATTTTACATATATTAGCAGAAGCAGTTGTAATGAAGCTTCAAAATGCTATCATTATTTGGGAACTTTGGTTCCAAAGTGGAGGAATGATGCAGATTTATTCTGAAAGCAGTGGTCCATAACAGAAGTGCTGTTAATAGCAGCTTCCAAAGCAGTAGCACTGAGAGAAAATGACCTGACCTAATTAGAAGATAGTTAAATTTGAATTCCAAATAAAATATGGAATTAAATGCCCAATGGTAACCATGTAACAATGAGCTAAATAGTCTGTTTCTGCTCCTCTGTCTTGTGGTTTAATCTTTGTTATTATCAAAAAACCCATCTGGCTCAATAACGTCCTTTAGGGAAGGAAATGTATTGCAATATATGCAGGTTCAAAACCCACAGCAATGCGATTGATTCTTAACTGCCCTCTGAAATGGTCTAGCAAACTACTCCGTTGTATCAAACTGTGAAAACTCCTCAGAAAAAGGAACAAAACCAGACAGACCACCAGACACCAATCTCAGCTCTGGAAGTAAGAACGGCAAAGTCCTCTTTACCAACATCAAAAAGATGTGCCAAAGTTTGAACTGATCCAGCAACTCAAGACTGGATATCCACAATGCACGTGTGGGCCATCAACAGCAGAACTGTACTCCAATACAATCTTCAACCTCATGGCCCAGCATATTGCCCAATCTAGCATTTAAATCAGGCCAGGAGATCAACCCTGGTTCAATAGAGAGTGCAGGTGGGCATGCCAGGGGCAGCAACAGGCATGCCTAAAAATGGAAACTAAAAGAACTGCGGATGCTGTAAATCAGGAATAAAAACAAAGTTGCTGGAAAAGCTCAGCAGGTCTGGCAGCATCTGTGAAGGAGAAAACAAGAGTTAACTTTTCGGGTCCGGTGACCCTTCCTCAGAGCTTTTTTTTTTAAAATAGGGTGTTCACCTGGTGAAGCAACAATACGAGCAGCAAATATTAAACAGTGCTAAAGCGACTGGTCTGCAGTCCTGCCAAACCAAGTTCTGAATGGTGGTGGACAATTAAACAACTCTCTGGAGGAGCAGGCTCCACAAATATTCCATCTTGAACTGCACATCAATGCAAAAAATAAGACCAAAATTTCTGCAACAACCTTCATTCAAAGTGCCAACTGGATGATCTGTCTCAGTCTCCTGAGGTTCCCCAGCATCACAATGGCGGTTCTCTGTCAGCTTGGTTTACTCCAACCCATCTCCCGTACTTCAGATCACACTCCTTCTCTTCACTCCCACAACAGTATGACGATACTATGACTGACTGACTTATTTAGTGACTGACTTGCTGAAGGGGTGGAGGAAATTTCAGCAGGCGGAGGAACGTCAGGAGGCATTCGACAGGCTGAAAGCTGTGTTAACCACTCCCCCAGTGTGAGCCACATCTAATTACGCAAAGCCATTCAAGGTGGCTATTGATGGGAGCGATTTGGGTGTTGGTGCTGTACTCTTGCAAGGAGATGACAAGAAGATGAGAGATCTATTGGATATTTTTCCAGAAAATTGAATAATCAACATATATTCTACGATTAAGAAGGAGACTTTGAGTTTGGTGTTGTCGTTACAACATTTCAACGTTTATATTGCCAGTAATATGTCAGAGATAACTGTATATACTGATCTTCACCATTTTATATTTTTGGAAAAATTTAAGGATAAAAATTCCGGACTGTTTAGATGAAGATTATTATTGCAGCCATGTGGCAGGACATGAGAAGCTAACTGCTGACACGTTGTCCGGATTTTGTTGAAGGAAGATGGAAGTGTTTGGTGGAGGGAGAGAAAAGTGGACTGAAATAGACTGTAGGAGTAAATGTTTGCATGCTTAGAGTCAATGCAATGCATTTGTATTGTTGTGAACTAATAGCATAAGACTAAAATTTTTTTAAAAATGAAGTCATCTTTGTATATTACTGGATTTTTTTTAAAGTGGGAAAGTGTGATGATTCTGTGGCTTTAAGAGGCATATTTTGTCCTGGGTATTTTCAGAAAGGTTGAGAGGGAGAGGTGCCGAGTCAGCCTACTTAGAGCTACTAAAGTAAACAGTTTGTGAAGCCTTGGGGTGTTTTATTTTGAATGTTGGGACAATAGAAGCAGCCTGAATGAGTGGGGTCAAGCTGTTACAGAACCAGGATATTTAATTTTAGTTTCTCAGTCGTAGCTGCTGGGGTCTTGAAGCTGGATGTGGAAGTTATTTTTTCTCTCTCATTTACAGCTAAAAGCTCAGGATTCTCTTTCTGCTGCTAGAATTACATGAGACAATCTGTTTTGCTGAATTTTCCTTTTGCCAAGGGTGCTTATATGAGATGTCTCGAAACAGTTACTGTTTAGTAGTTAAATAATCGAGTATGCTGATAAATTGTCCAATAGGGTTAAGTTATTCCAATTTCTTCTTTCTTTTATTGTATTTTACCTCTAGTGTATGAATAATGTGCGATTTGCTTCAAATCGGGTAGGGAAAAATGGTTAGGGTCTAGGCCATCACCCTGAGATTTTGAGAGGTTTTGTCTGGTCCATAACAACAACGAAAAGGTCCCCCTGATCCTTACTTACAATTCTACCAATATCCACATCCAAAGAATCTTTAGCCACCATTTGTGCTATCTCCAGTGGGATGCTGCCAACACTGGACACATATTCCCCTCCCCTCCCTCGTAAGCCTTCCACAGGACCATTCCTTCCCAGACACCCTCATCCACTCCATCACTCACATTCCCCCAACCCATTTTCCCTCCGACCCACTCCCCATAGTATGTTCCCCTGCAATCACAAAAGATATAAATACTGCCTGTTCACTTCCTCCATCCTCATTATCCAGACTCTAGGCACCGATTTGTTGAAGCACTGATTTATCTGTACTTCACTCAATCTATTCATTTTACACAATATGGTCTACGCTGTACTGGCGAGACAGAACACAGACTGGGAGACCACACTGCAGAATACCTACGTTCTGTCTGCAAAAATGTTCCTGAGTTTAATCTTGCTTGTTACTTCAACTCACCACCCTGTTCCCTGGCCAACATCTGTCTCAGGCTTGCTGCAATGCTCCAGTGAAGAATTGCATCTCATTTTCCACTTGGGTGCCTGCAGCCTTTAGGGCTCAATATCGAGTTCAACAATTTACAACCTGAGCACCTTTTCTCACGTTTTTGTCCCAAACCCTACAAACTAGATCTTGTTATCACATGGGGTGCCAACACAAACAACCTGTCAGCTACTGGGAACAAATTACTGTGGAGGCAGAAACTTAACTGAAAACAATGCTGCAAATCACAGCAGATCAGGCAGCATCCATGGTGGGAAAGCAAGCTAATGTTTCACGTTTAGATAACTCTTCATCAGAACTCTGGATGCTGCCTGACCCACTGTGATCTCCAGCTTTTTTTTATTTTCACCACTATTAGCTCCTAATGGTTCCTGTTAGCATCTATTTATTGTCCAAGACTGAGCTTTATCCATTCCTTTGGCTGCTCAGCTGTTGTTCTGTCTCTCTGGGCTCCATTTCATGCTTATTCGTCTCGCCTTCCACGCACTATCTTCAGCACATATATCAATCTTTTCTGAGTTACAAACAATTCTGAAGAAGGGTCATTTGGACCTGAAATGTTAACTATGTTTTCTCTCCATAGATACTGCAAGGTCTGCTGAGGCTTTCCAGCAATTTTTGTTATATACGATACACAGTGCTGCCACTGTGTGTGTGAAGCAGAACACAATTATGCAGAATCACCTTCGTTTCTGAGAGGAAACAGTGGTTCACAAGTCAGTTTGAAGCATGTGAGGCTGTAATTAGCAGTGTTGACATTGGCCGACCGGAGGATTTGAAATATTTGGATTTTGACATATTATTCAAGCAGGTGTCACACAAAGATTTCGTGAGACTCTGGGGACTGAAGGAAAATGTTAACATTGAATTCTGACAGTGTGGAAGCTGGCCATTCGGCCCATCGAGACCACATCTACCCTACTACCCTATCCCTGTAAGCCTGCATTCCCATGGTCAATCCACCTAACCTGCACATTTTTAGATTGTAGGAGCTCCCGGAGGAAACTCATACAGACATGAGGAGAATGTGCAAACCCCACACAGACAGTCGCCCAAGGGTACAATTGAACCTGGGTCCCTGACACTGTGAGAAAGTGTTGATCCTGTGCAGGTAATTAGAGTTGGATTTGGCCACTGACGAGTCATTTCCAGAAAAATTTTAGCAACATTCAGTTTAAAAGTCCAATTCACACAATAAACTTCACCACAACACTCCTGTTACATTAAAAATCTCCACATACCTGTTTTCCCAAGATAGACACAGATCCCTCTTAAATTCAAGTAATTCGGATCTAGTTAAAAAGCTCCCACTTGTTACGATCTCAGCTAATGGGACAGCTGAAGACATCAGGTCCCATAGTGAAACCTGGATTGATAGATCATATCACATTCTGAAGTGGAGGGTGAACGGCTGGAGGTCATTATGCACATTGGTGGAAATGATGTAGGTAGACAAAGGGATGGGGTCCTGCAAGACGAGTGTAGGAATTTAGATAAGAAGTTAAAAAGCAGGACATCAAGGGTAGTGATCTCTGGATTACTCCCAGTGCCACGTGCCAGTGAGGATAGAAAGAGAAAGATAGGCCAGATGAATACATGCCTGAGGTGGTGGTATAGCAGGCAGGTTTTCATTTCTTGGATCATTGGGATCTCTTCATGGGTAGAGGTGACCTATACAAAAGGGATGGGTTGCACTTGAGCTGGAGGGGGTACAAGATCCTTGCGGAGAGATTTGCTAGTGTTACCCGGGAGGGCTTAAACTAGTTTGACAGGGGGTGGGACTCTGAATAAGAGAGGGGCTGTTGAGAAGTCAGGGAAAAATATATTAGCCGTCAAGAGCAAGTTTAATGTTCAGGATAGCCAGCGGCACAGTAAAGGGAGGGAAAAGACTTCTGGTGCAAAGTGCATTTATTTCAATGCATGAGGCCTGATTGGTATGGCAGATGAGCTCAGAGCATGGATTGGCTCTGATTGGGGACTGGGATATTATAACCATAACGGAAACATGGCTGAGAGAAGGGGAGGACTGGCAGCTCCATGTTCCAGGACACAGAAGCTACAGGCGTGACAGAAGTACAAGAAAACGAGGAGGGTGGAGTTGCCCTTTTGACAAGGGAGGACAAAACAACAGTGCTCAGACAGGATATTCTGAAGGGGTCATCAAATGAGACCATATGG